GCTCCTCATGGTCCTTTGGGAGCAAGCAGAGCTGAAGGACCAATGCCAGATGGGTATTTTCCAGGGTCAGCAAAACTGTGAAAACAAGTGGGGCCCATGGAAAGGCCCGGAACTCTGCTCTATTGTGAAGTTGAGCGTTTGGACAGCTTGAGCCGGTTGGATTTAGGGCTTTAGAGCTTATTTAAAGAAAAGACTGTAACAAAGTGGTGCAAACAGCGAGCTTGTTTCTCTTTCTTTTCTTTTCTTTTTTCTTTCACTATGAGCACAAGAACTTGACCTATTGTGAATGGCTGGCACGTCAAGATCCTGTGTGATTAACACCTTGAAGTCAGTTCTCTGGGGTTTTTTTTATGTAACTAGGCAAAACTTTAAAACTGGACAACAAAAATCTTGTTACTCATCTCGTTGTATCATCAAGTCTTAGCTCGACTCAGTCCAAGCTACTGCTCAGAAACAACAAAAGCACAGGAATAAGGCATCCTAGTCTCCATTTACTTCATGTACATTGCATTGAAACATTGCATTGACAACTGCAACTGCAGATAAGACATCTTCAGAGCTCTTATCTGCTTAATGAAATAAACAAAATACGTTTTGAGTTTTTCATTTGCATTTAAAAGAGTCTGAGCATTAAAAAAAGTCTGCAATTATTCAACAATTAATGTAACAGTTTATCAGGTCTCTTGAATTAAAGCCGAGCCTCTGCGCTTCCCTTGGATCTCAGTTCATTTCAACTCCATTTGCTGGGATACAGAGGCGAAATCCAAACATTTCCGGGGCCAAGTTGTGTTTGTACCTTCAAGTTTTCTCAGATGCAATGTGAATAATCAATGTTTAAATGACAGCTGTTTGTTTGAAGACACAAACACTTGCTTAATCATGAAATGTACAATGACGGTGCCCAGATGGGTTGTGAGGTATTGTCTGTCACATCACCATCCTGCTGTATTTTCGGCTCAGACGGCTTCTCTGACTGCAGAACTTGAGTATATTTAGCCACACACATTGAATATTTAAGCCATCCTGTCCACTGTTGCTATAGCGATCTTCATTCAAAGTAGAGCTGTGTTTGAGCTTTGTAGTAGGCAATGCTTCAAGTGATATGTTTTTGGGGTTTTTTTTTAAACTGATAAATTTCTTGAAGTTCTCTCTGTGTGTATACTGTATATATGTCACTGAATATAAGTGTACACAGCAGCCTTCAGGCCACTTTATCATTGCCACCCTATGACCCAGTAGGGACTCTTGCCCTATTTTAGCTCCAATACAACCAATAGTGCATATAAGTTTGCAGTGTTTGTCATGTCTGTTACATACGGCATTTTCATATGACGTCATAACTGTAAGAGCCTTGTCTATTAATCTACTGCCGAACTCTGTGTTTGACATTAATCACACTACATACTAGCATCCAGTGATAATGCTGTGACAGGTCCTCGCTTTGTGTCTCAGTGTTGTGTTTCATGAGGGAGTGAAGAACAAAGCAGTTGCGACTGATGCTTTTGTCCACTCTTCTCCAGGCTAGCAAAGGCTGCATGTTCACTCTGTCCACACTTAGCCCGCTGGTTCAAAGAGCAAACTCTTGTGTGAATGACCGATTGGGTTCAGTCATTCATATGCTGATGACGGATTCAGTGTTTCCATTGTTTACTGCCGTGTATCTGGAAGGGAGAGGTGATTCGTGCATTCCTATTACTGAAAACAACAAGTGGGGGTCCCTGTACATGTTTTGCATGCGGGGACATTATAAGAGATGAGCCACGTCTTTTTTTGTTATCTCTTCTATTTGCTAGTTTTGGTTACCCCACCACATCTCTCAAACTTAACATGGATTCACGTGAATTATGCTCTTTAGGCAATCCTTATAGAAGCCATTATCTTTATGTATTGTCTATTTTTGTTTGGTGATGCTACATTGTAGCTACATTGTAGTATCCAAGCATTTGGACTTTTAGTATAATTAACCTTCATAGGACCAGATGGGAACTCCATCCAGTCTTGCAGCACTAGTCCAGACCTGCTAGTGTGAGAGTGAGAGTGACCAGCCTAGGATGTGACATGCAAAATAACACGACATGAACCCAGTACATGCCCATGCTATAGTATTTTTGGCCTATTTGTGCTATTTATTTTTTAATTAATTCAACAGGATGCTTGCATAAGATGTCGCAGGCACATAAATGCTAAAAACGGGTCATTTTTACATATTGCTAGGTGGTTGCCAGGCAACCTGATGGGGTAATACAAATTATTCACAAGGGGTTGTCATAGTGGGTAGCTCCCTATGTTGGATTTGGCAGATTTTTAAATGGAGCCATCAGGTGTCTGATGGTGTATAAATTAAGTTTTGTGGACATAAATAAAATGTCTTTATAATGAAATAAAAGGATGCAGGTGCATCAGTACTGAAAGCAGCTCATATAAGTTGCCCATTGCTAGGTGGTTCCTAGGCAACATGGTGATATCATAATATCTGATATGGAAAAGAACTTAAAGGAGCCTAAGATGCACCCGTGCGCCAGGTTTTATCGCTCAGCTCCTGGCGATGTAGGTGTTGGAGTTGGCGGACAAAGAAACAAACAAATGTGCAGACTGAGATTTTATGTCTTACAGTAAAATGCTCTGTTTGGATGCAAAGACACGAAAACAGTATGTTTTATCTGTATTATTTGCACAAAAATGTGTTTGTCTGCAGTTATGAGATCATTGAGAACACAGACACATGACAGAGTGTGGACTGTCTTGGTGCAGGTTTGGTTTGCCATGAGATTCCAGTTCTGTAGCTATTGTATTTTGATATATATTGTTAATACATCTATTTGATGTACCTGTGCTCTTCTAAGGTTTGGTACAGTGCGCTACTTGCACCTTTTCTGGTTGATATTTGTGTAATTGGTGACAGCTGTTCTGATTATAAGTCACCTGTCCCAGTCAAGGGGCACATGGTGCACAGGATGCTCATCTTAAATTGTATTTTTGTGCATCACTTGGTCTTACACACGTGGTTTCAGTCATGATTTATTTATGCTTTCACATGAATTGTTGAGAAAATACTAGAATTGGGTGAACTAGTTGGGAATTCACCATGTGTCACAGCCTATTACAATAAAACGTATGATGGTAATCTGTCTTAAATTTGTCATGGATCAAATACGATACATTAGTGAGGAACTAGTATATAAAAGGGTCTTGTATTTAATTTTATCTATATTTTTGTTCTGGAATTCAAACACACTGAAGAAGACCCAGCACATAGTACAGTTTTAAGGGCCAAATTTAAGTAAGAGGGTTTGCGTCCAACCCAGTAATAAAAAATAGAAATCTGCCCATCATGTCTTCCCAGAAGTCCCCAAAACACAAATGTTCTATCTGACCAAACATAAAAGACGTTCATTGAACACCTTTGTGCTTCATGTTGGTTTACACGTCCACCAGCAGCACGGAACACAACAGCCGCCCCCACCACTTACGGCCATGTGCCACAGTTTGTGCCATTCTCCATCCTCCTATCATCATGTGCAGTTGCCCACAGGGTTTCCCACAGTGTTTTGTAGCCCAGACAAGAATCTGCTTACATCATAAAAAATGTATAACCTTACAAAACCACCCATTCACCTTTAAAGAAAAGCAGCACAGGTGTCGTTCTGAATAACCAATGTCATAATTTCATTGTCTGTTCTGATTTTAATCTAGTATGTCATCCTTTATTCGGAAATTCAGCAGGTTATGGGTTGGGTGTTGCCTGTGCTAAAATCAAAGTATTTGCTTGATTGTCCCCCAACTTCCAGGTGTGTCGTATATGCACTTAACTACAAATCTTCTGGCTGAGACAGAGATCGTACTGCACGGTGCATATCAGATCAGCAAGCTGCAAACTTTAATAGCATGCATCTTGGCATGTACAACGCCAGAAGTTAATATGAAACGCCAAAAAGCACAAGAGGGAGCGTGAGAGGCAATAAAAATACTCATTAGAAAGCTAAACTGTAGCTCTGCACTAAAATCTCATGTGGTGGTCCTTTACTGTTGGCAGAAATTAATGTATACTTAAAATTCTAAATGTTTAACAATTAATGTCTTTTAAGGACAGCTTTCCCTTAAATGTATTCTTAATGGCGTCACTAAGGAATACACAATGTGCACTATACTTAAAATGATCATCGACTGAAAGAACTGAACTTTAGGTAATCATATGTATTGATGTCAGAGGCGTGCATTATTTATCTTAGTGAGTCAACAGATGTGAAGGCTCTGTGATGTCCTTGTCTTTTAAAATCAAGCAGCCATTGGTACAGCAGCATCTGACAGTCAGACAGAAGCTGTCATCACCGCTCTCTATGATTCAAGGCTCCAAGTCCCAAATGTAACGGTAGATCAGTAATTCATGACCACTAACAGCAGCCATCGACTGACGTAATGGCTTGCATAATGCCATGTCAAGTAACCAGGCCTGGCAGGCACACTGTCACACAGATCACTTACAGGGCCTTTTGTTAGCTTCTGTCATTAGGAGAAGAAGGCTCCTTACTCAGCCAGAGATGTTTGAGATAGTCTAGTTCTGGATCACAGAGCCTAGCAGATAGGAACCTTGTGCACAGTTAAGGTCTGGGACTGCATGCAAAACAGAAATAGTGAAATATCACAGTGAGGATCATTCAAATTTGATATTTTTTCTAAAGATTTCTTAATAACTATGTGGATGTAGCTTACGCCATTTCGTTTCGTCATTGCTGCTTTTGTTGTTGTTGTTGTTTTTGAGTTCCCGTATTAGCTTGGCCATTATTAGCCATGTTAGCACATGGTGCTTCAAGCCTATTAAGCCTCAAGTGATGTAAGGCTGAGCAAACAGTGTACGTGCTGTGCTGCTGTCCACACTGACCTGTAGGTCAGCGCTGTCATGCAGAGCAGTTTGTCTTAATATTTGTTGTGAGGGTAAATCACATTGGAATGAATTCTCTTCTTTTTCTCTCTTTTTTTTGTTTGTTTCTGTTTTTTTTTAGCACTGCCAGTAACTCAAACAAGAGCACGCCCGCCTGCTCACCAGTCCTGCGTAAACGCTCGCGCTCTCCCACACCACAGAGCCAGGAGGGTGAGAACATGGTGGAGAAGGGTTCAGACCACTCCTCTGACAAGTCCCCCTCCACGCCTGAGCAGGTTGTCCAGAGAACGTACTCCGTGCAGTCGGCGCGAAGCGGGGGAAAGAACTCAAAGGTGAGTACACGGGAGATTCGCCTTTTTATCTTCTCGATGCATCATCTGGAATCTGATCAGATGGAAATACAATACGGACTGAAACACGGTGCACTTTCACTGGCATATTAAAATATATTTTAAAAAAACGGATAAAACAGAGGATCCAGCTCTCAGCATCGCTCAGCCCTTTTTGAGCTGTGTGTCCTTTCCACCCAAAACACTCAGAACTGCAGGAAGAGAGGCCCCCGTACACCTCGACAACACTTTGCGTCACACAGAGCTGCTTCAGTGGGACACCAGGTGTCAATATCACAGACAAAGATAAAGGTGCGACGGGCAGGATAAGGCCTAAGTGGAACACTTAGTAATAATCCTCAGTAATAAATTATTCATTGAGAATTAATTAAACTGTAGTAAAAAATTATTTCAGTGTGAAGGAATTATCATTGATTATGTTTGATAATTATAGTTATTATTAGTTTGTACACTAACTGATTTGACTGGGCGTCAATCATTATCAGGGACGCTGCTTATTTTAACCAATTATTAAACATTATTAATTATAATGTAATATAATGTGTTTGTTCAAAATAAGTAAGCTGTTTATTAGCTATCTATTCACCATTTAACAAAGATCTTTAGCATAAAGTGTTACCTGCTTTGACAATATGTTGTCTTTAACCTCAAACCTAAGCATACACATAATTACAGTTGAGTGCATTTTTACATTGTTGTTTCCACTTTGGCTCAAATACAGTATGATGGTGGAGACGAATTTCAGGACTCTGGAGAAGATTTGGTTTTATAACGTGAACGCTTACTCAGCAAGAATATAATCGTGTAGGAAACAGACATAAATCAATAGGAGGGCACCAAAATGAGGTTAGCAACTACCTGCCATGCTTTGGATTGCCTCTGTGATTTTAGTCCTGATGTGTTGCATTACATTTTTTCATCTTCTAAATTAGTCCTCCTGACTCTCTGACAGTCGTGTTGATATTTTAACTCTTGTGATCCAGCTGTGTAACTGTGGCTACACTAACACGTCAGTGTTGGCCCGGCTTTAGTTATTCTCTAGTGTAGTGACGCACGTGTTAGGATCGGTTATTGACTTGGTAGGTGCCTGATGATCTGTAACTATCACTCCACCCCTCCAAAACCAATCTGAACAGATAACACTATTCTCTCTATTCCTCCTGAACACACATTTTTTCACTAATTTTACAATAAAAGATTAAAGAATCAGTAAAGTTTTATATTGTACCTGTTTTAGCTTGCTAAACAACAAAATTAATCCAGGAAATGACTTACATTGACAAATGTAAAATGTAAACAATGGTTTCAAATCAGAGATTAGGATTTCTTGCGCTGAGCATGTTCTCTGTGTAGCTTTCAAGTGTTGCAGCGTTTTCTTTTTTGGATCTATCTGAGTTCTCATCAGCATTTCTCCTCACAAGCGAATTTAAATCTTTGAAAGTCAGGTATTCTCACAGAAGATGCAAGCCATCACACTCCATCTCCTTTTTTGCCTTTGCCTCATCCGTCTCCGCTGATCTCCGTTGGGTTTTTGAGATCGTTTTCATTTCTCCACATCACACTGTGCACGCCGTCTCTCTCTTCGCTGCTGCTGCTGCTGCTACATGCCATAATGATAATACATACCATCTGATAAAGACTGTTCAGCTCTTCTGTTGGTACTGTCAGCTGTTTCTTCTTGCAGTTTGTTTCGTTTTTGGGGTTTCATTTTTCTATCTGATTTTTTTGTTCTTTGTTCTTCTCCTGATTGCATGCTAGTCTCACAAGCGTCTTTCCAAAGTAAGCATTACTCTTTTTTTCTGTTCTTCTAATATTTCCGTGCCCACTTCCCCTCTGCAACACCTCCTGTCTTGTGAGCTACACTGTGAAAAATCCCCCCAAAAAACAACATTCCTGTTTTTCGAATGCTTCCCCCTGAAACCCGGCTTGCCCCCTTGTGCACACTGCAGCCGTTGCGATCCCCATCTGCACCCTTCATCACAGCAGATGGACGTTTTTTGCAATACCAATAACCCTACGCAACCTTACTCACTTCCTTTCCTTTTCCTCTTTCCTTCCTTTCCCTTTCTGGTGGTTTTATATGACATGAATTTCTACAGAAATGTCACATCAGGATTATTTGTTGTTGTTTTTTTCCTATTCAGATGTAGAGAAATTCACTAAATAGATAAATAAATATTGCAAATAATTGTCCAAATTCCTTCCTCACCTCCTCTTCCTGTTCCCTGCTTGGGCCTTTGTCCTGGAACTCTCTTTACAAACTTATCTCGCTATTACACTGCGGTAATGAGTGCTTTATATCTGTTATGCTGTGTACTGTAATTCCCTTGCTGTAGAAGGATGAACTCTTTAAAATACTGCCAGCATCCTAGTCCAGAGCAGCAGGACCGGATCTTTATTTAAGCAGCCTTTCTGTCATCACATGAAACAAATTTATCTTATTTTTTTTTTATATTTAATTAATAATTTTTTTTTTTGCACCACAGGCCCCAAAATTCTCCAGACTGCGGTCACGTTTTGGCGCATCAGCTATACTGTAGCCCCATCATCTAGTTTGCTACTTGTCGCAGTGTTTTTCATGTCAGTCATTCAATTTATGGCTTGGCTATACAGTGACTCAGGCTATAGGATGCGATTAAAAAGCAAATTTTTTTTTTACCATAAATGAATAGAAAGACGCAAAAATGGGAGAGTGAGTCAGTAAATTGGAGGTCGGTGTGAAGAGAGCCCTCCTGATGCTCTGTTTGCTGCTGCGCAGTCACACAATCAGTTTAGTGCACACACATAGATCCTAATTGATCATATGACTCTCCTTTTATGTGCCACAGTTCGAACCCTCTCCACCCCCACCCTAACTCTTTTGCAATATCTCCCATATATATAGATATATATATAATATATGTGTATGTATACATATATACACGAGCCTCTGTGGCCTGCAGTGGTCACATGACCTCAGCAATGGCATTAGGTCCAAGCAACGTGAGCTCGATCGCCCCAACCCTAATGATGCACAAATCAAAGATGCATTTGGTAGAAGAAACGTATGCGCCGTGCCTCTATGCAAAACGGCATAAACGGCAGTCCTGATGTAATAATAATAATCAATCAGGCATCTAATGTAACATATCCAGCTAGATGGAGAGGCTAACCTAACCACTCAGTCAGCCCTCTGACGCTGTTACATCGGTATTGGCAGTGTTATTTCAGAGTTGTACTTGAGCCACAGGCGCTTACGATATCAGTGTATCCATTCCTGTCAGTGTTTACGTTGCTCATTGCTTTAGTTGACATTTTTGTTTCTCTTTAATTTTCTTTCAGTATGACAGGCTAAACCTGATTAAAGTAAGCATTTCTTCTTGTTTTCATTTGACCCATTCACAATCCCTTCTGCCTCCCATTGAGTCCCTTAGGCCTCCACTTACCCATCATATAGAGATGGATTTCTAGTTCCTGTCCCTCTTGTCCTTTCCAGTGCGCCCCCACCCTCTGACTCAATGCGAAAGGATCCTGATTTCATTCTGAAATGTTAAATAATCAGCCCGGCTTAATCAGAAGACTGATTCCACTGTAGTGATTGTCAGCACTGTAAATGACAAAATATTATTATTCGAGCCAATTCTTTTGCCCCGACACAAAACTATTTCTTTAAAACAATATGTCCTAAAATTTAAACCAAGAAATCTTCCCCTCCTCTTATGTAGTCACAGGAAGTCAAACACAGTGGCACATGCATACATGCACACCTTGTCCAGACAGTGGACTCTGAGTCATTTCTCTCTGTCACCTTCAGATCAGAGTAGCGCACATTGGCCCAGCTATCATCACAGCCTTGAGCCCGCTTCTGCAGCTAAATGCTAGCTGACGCTGCGCACACCAGAAAAGCAGCAAACCCTGTTGAACAGAAAACAAACAAACTAAATATTTCTGTGTTTTAAAATTACAGTTTTGCAATATTTAGGGCTTCATTCAGTCCATGATTTGTGTTTTGTGGCAATTTCTAAAGCTGCCAAGTCAAAGTGTAATACGAAACATATGACTCACTCTTCAGCTACACCGTCACAATCAACATCATCGACTTTTTTTTCTGTGTTCTTGCCAAAACTCAATCTGGATTATCCGCAAAGTCTGTTATTCACATCAGATTTAACTTACTGTGTCAGTTTGGGTTTTTTTTTGTTCTTTTATTAATATAATATTTCTTTGTCAATCATCCCTCTGCTGCCAGACACATGCTGTATGATGCACTTTCTCCTCTTTAGTCCCCGTCTTCTTCCCTCTTCTTTGTTCTCCCCTTTGAATGATCACCTGCATGTTCCCTCTGTGGGACTTTTTGCATTTAGACTGTTAGAGTTGAAAGCGTGTTTATGTGAATGGAATTGTGAATCTTATTAGGCCGCACCTCTGCTGCCCTCTGCTGCTGTAAAACCGCAACAGACGTGATTGTTTGTCTAAGAAGAGACCTCAAAAGAACAAATTATAGAAAATCACCAGTGACACGTTTCACACCCATTACAGCTCATTTAAATATCATCACTAAACTACAAAGGTGAATTAATTTTCACATTTTCTTTAAAAAATAAACTCCACGCAGGCAATGTGATGATTTTTGAAGACATATCGATGTACGTCTTGTTGTAAAGGTATTTTGAAATACAAACATAGTATATCCAGTCAGCGAATGCAGCACGCAACATGCTTTAGAATTAAATTACTTTCAGTTCCACCAACACAGGAAGCAGGTCTTCCTTGGAAGATTTGGGGAAAAGTCCTATATTTGATTGATAAGTAGACATGTCTGTCTGGGTGCTTACGTAAGTGGACTGGAAGATAATTTAACCCTCCATCGTTTCCATGTTCAGGATAGAGTACATTATTTAAATAGTGTGGGGAATTCTGCTGTTAAGAAATTGTTGTTTTACATCTGATGGATCTGGTTATTAAAAAGGTGATTGATCGTGTGTATCTGCATAAGCCTTCAAGCCTGCTGCACTGTTCACTAGTTCCACGGAGTTAAATGCTTTTCCTCTTTTTCTCTTTCCACAGAAGAGCCAAAGCTGGTACAACGTAAGTCACGCCTTCTTTATCTCCTTCTGTCTGTGTGTGTGTGTGTGTGCGCGCGTGTGTTTGTGTTTGTGTGCTGGGGTGTCTTCATGTCATGTTTGTGACACCTGAAAGTGTTGGTTTAGTTGCTAACACTGCTTAGGAGCTGAAAGGTCTGTTGTCCTTGACCTTGTTTACTGGAGCACTGAACCACTAGTGTGCGTTACTGGTCCTGCAGGAAGGGATTAGCAGGAGGCTTAAAATAGCAGCAAGTGGGCCTTTGATGCAGCAAGCAAGACAACAATCCTTCAGCACTGCAGTGCAAGATTTGACTAATATGCCCACATATTTGACTGGTATCACACAGTATAGAATCGACGCAGATTGTTGCAGTTCTGTGTTTTCACCACAAGGTGGTGTGCTAACACTATTTTCCTAACCATGGTTCTCTTTGTAGATCGCCACTGAACATCCACTTAACAAATATTTTAAACCCTTTTTTTTTTAAACAAAAAGGTTGCCAGCTGTGTGGGTTTAAGTGGATTTAACCACTAATAAGTGAGAACATAGTTTCTACAGAAGGGTCTTTATTGGATTTTTCCCCCCCATTTTGTGCTCCTTTTATTTCTTCTGTTGGTTTATTTCCTTTCTTTTATTCCCTGTGTGTACACTCTGCCCCTCTCTCCCCAGCATGAAAGACAACACATCCTGAGAGTAAGCATGACTTGTATTTTTGTCCAGCCCTGATTATCTTTGACTTGTCTCTCTTGCTCTCAGACTGGTGGGATTTTTTGATATCCCTCCTGCCTGTTTCTCATTCCATTGCCTTCCCTCAGCACTCAGCGTTGCTACCGCCAGCAAGTGACACGCTGAAATAGAAAGCACTGTGCTGTCATGATAAAGCTCAAAACAAGATCTTCCATATTGTGTTTTCAACACAGTGTAGAAGAATCGTACAGCACAATTATTCTTTCGTAGCAGTAACAGTGTTCAAAGGGTTTGCATTTTACACGTGGACCTGTGAGCACAAGTGAATTTCTATTTCTGGCGTGCAACAGGTGGTAGCACACTGAGTTCCTCACTGTACTAAGCAGCTCAGTAAACCATCACAAGGGCTTCTGAATGCGCCATGGGAATGAAGCATGGTGCTTTAGGTTGTGGCACGTTTTCCTCCTGCCCAGCTCTCTTTCCTGCGTCCTGATAAGCACGGGCACTTGGTCTGGCATTAAAACAAGTAGAAACACAAGGCCCTAACTAAACATAGCTGAAACATGAAAAAGGATTCTGAAAGCTTTTCAATACTTCGCTAATGCACTCAGCTGTAATAAACCCATTTCATTTCCTTTACTGACCTACTATCTGGAAGAGACCCGTAACAAGTGATAATCACTGCTGTAAGTGCCGTCCTGTGGTTCTCAAACTGTGGGGTGGGCCCCCTGGTGGAGAATAGAGGCACCACAGGGGAAGGAGCCACATTAACTTAAATTATTACAGTTTAAGCAGAGGAGGCAGACGCATGAGCGTTTCCTGATGCTATTATTATTAGTTTTATTTCAATAAAATTACCAGAAAATAGACATTATAGTTTGCAAACCACTGGACTGCACTGATAATCTCTCACAGATGTCACTGTCATACTTACAGATGATATACTGCCGGCTACCAGCACAGTGAACTTGTCGTGTACAAGATGGCAGGATAATCTGCCCTTACCTCCAGATTATGTTGCTGTCAACAAATCTCTGTAAAAGGCCAAACTTAACAGTGAAGCCACCCTGCTCATTAATTGCCACGTTTTCTTGTTCCTTTGTCTTGCAGATCTGCATTTTTGTCAGCGGAAGCACTGCGTGCCGTGTTTTTACCCTGAACACGGTCACAACTGTTTACATGCATGCTCCTTCGAGTCCCTTTGTACTACAAGCCTGCCGTCTGTATCAGTTCTGCAGCTGAAAACAGTCCACACATATACTGCATATAAATATATGCATTAGCTTACAGCACCCAGATGTTGAAAGGAAATTATTTAGTCTTTAAATAAGACTGAAATGTTTGGTGATGAGTAAATGCTATGGACACAAAAGACAAATCTACTGTGGCTTACAAGTTAAAAATAGTATTTTGTTTTGACATACAGAGAAGACTTGAGCCATCAAATTTAAATCAGCACATGTGATGCAGGGATGAAGCTTTCCAGCATTAACTCACATTAAGCACATCAAGCTAAGAGTTGCACCCAAACAAGCCAGTCAGTCTTTGTAGCTTCGTCAGCTTCTTAAGAGTAAGAAGTTCACGTTGTTGTTATTTCGAAGTTGCGTTGGCTCAAGACTAAAACTACATAGAGTGTGTATGTGAGACAACTTCAACAGGATAGCTGGCCTCAGGTCTCCGAGCCTCAAACAGGGAGGAAAAGCCTGAAAATAAGAAATGTTTATGGAGTAATCCCTTAATATGAATATTCAGAATTGGCATTACAATGTTCTCTTCAAACCCCGCTGACAATTTGAATCGGGGTGAAATTCACCATCACAGCTGATTCATAATGGTGAATTGAATTAACTGCTCAGCATCGGGGCTACCTTCCTGACATCTTGTACACTAATCTTTACACACATGTGTTTTTACTAAAGCTCAATCAGCCGGAGAAACGTGTGTCTAACAGATCCTTTTTCAGTTCACTTGGTTCTGACACGTAGGTGTTGTAGCATTTATGCGCCTGCTTGTCAGACACTGTGTGCATGTGTGTGTGTGCACGTCTACGTGGCAGTAGCGATCGGCCACGACTTCGAAACTACAGTGACTAAACATCCACCTTTCCTAACGCGAGCCCGTACGAGGTAGGCACGGTCACCTCACTTTCTTAGGAGCAGCATAACTGCGTTTTCTTATTCGCTTTGCATCTGCACAAATGTGTGGCCTCCAGGAAGTTGGCAGGAAAAGAGAAAACAAGCAACAAACAGCAAGATAAGAGATATCTGGACAGTAGACAGTGCATGAGTTTAGTGCATGGAGACCAACTTTCCATAAAATGAACAACAGCGGTAGTAAAATAGAGAGTTTATTGTTAATAGGATAAACACACTCCTCCGGTACACAGCATAAAACCCCACCCAGGTTTGCAGTACCAGTCTCCTCCATCCCCTACTGTTTGTCCAGCATGTTAATAGTTAACCAGATCGATACACGCTGTGTGTTGGTAGTTCCACTTTATACCCCGTTCGTCCTAGGCGTCACTGTGCCGCCTGAACTCTGCATGCAAAGTCACAGTCAAGTCAATGAACTCTTTCTTTCCTTAAGCTATAAAGCTACAAAATCGACACGAATACACGGAAATACCACAAGTACGGGATGAACCTTCATTAAGTTTCATGCTCATGATGTAAAGGCATGTTTTCCAAGAAGCCTGTGATATTTTTCTTTCTGCTTCCTCAACTTACGCAAAGATGGGACTCGTGGCTGGATTCCAGTGCCCAAATATGACTTATAAATTTGCTTAGAGCAATGAAAATCCAAGCCACAGTTACACTTGTTTTGTGTTTTGTTTTTTTTTTCTCTCTGTTTGTTTTTTGTTTTGCTCACCAGTCAGACCTCCATAACTGCGCCCACGTTTTTGAGCGCCGAAGCATTTTTTTTGTTAAGAAAATCTATCGATTTTAAGTGCTGCTGAAGTAGAAGCTCTCCATCCTTCTCGCCCACTGAAAGTAGCAGAGGGGGATCAGGTGTCAGGAGTGCATGAATGACCTCAATACCAAGGCAGGAAGGAACCACTCCATACTTGCAGTTTCTTGAAATCGCCGGCGTTCAGCACGTTCAGTACTCGTACTTTGGATTCCAGCGGCCTTTCATTCATAAAATAAACGTTAAAAGCCCAAGAGCAAAGAATTATCGAGCGCGTATTTATTCATTCTCCTCGCTCTGCTATTTAAACCCTGGCTTGCGACCCGGTGCAGTCCCTTTCAAGATTGATGGTGTTGTTTTGCAGCCAGAGGTAACTGGAGGTTATGCTCACATCTGTTCTCTATAACTCAATCACTCGCTCAGACTGTAAGACGGACTCAACACATACTTTGGCTTTTTTTCCCTTTATTCAGTCCTACTTTTTTCCCCTACAGCTACATCTTTGTTTATATTAATCCTCCAGTCTGCAGAGTAAACTCGCCTCATTCTTTGCTGGTCATAAACAGAGTAATTATCAGGCACTCAGACCTGGACAGCAATACACACACACACACACACACTCATGCTCTGCTTGCACACTTACGAGGAGGAGTAAGCAGAAAAAAGGAAAAGGCTACTGGCGTGATAATAAAGGACTTGTTGGCTGGGGTTACTAGAGGGCAACGGCCGTAACTCCTCTCCCTGTCTGCATGAAAGGAAGCGAGAGAGAGGCACAGAAAGACAGAGTGAGACAGGAATCATGTGGCTGGAGTGCGTTGTGTCCACTGCTCAGTGTTGAAAGGGAGCAGCACCCAAGAGGAGGAGGGGAGCGCGGATACTACAGCTTCAAACTGCTGCACACGTTGTCTGGCTTCTCTTATTTTCCCAACTTTTCTCGAACTGACAAGTCAAGTCGGCTGTGAGACGAGCCCACTGGGGCGCATTTTTGGAAAACTTGTTTCCATCCAGGCAGCAAAAAGGATCTGGCGCCCTGAATATGGAACTGGATGAGGACTGTACGCTGTCTGACTGGGAGGCCATGCTGGAGCTGGATGAGGCGTTGGCATTGTGGGTTCTGCAGGGTCCAGCTAGAGGGGAATGGGGTTGGGAGTGGGGCTGGGCTGCCTCAGACCTTCAAGACCCCGAGTGGGACAGTGAGGAGATTCCTGCTGTAAGTCGACCCCAGCTCGTAAGCTGAAAACATCACGGGGAGAAGCGTTGAAAAATGAAAATGTAACCTTGAAGCGGCAAAACAGAGGGTCGCCCAGAGGGCTTTTTTAGGGAACTTTGTGTGCTGTGCATGCTGCTGTGAGCGTAGTTCTGTGGTAAATCCCCACCAATAATTCAAACAAGTGGTTTGGCTGTGAGTCTTTGCTATTTGAAATCTTCTTGAGCTCACATAGGCCTGTTGTTTGGCATGATTGTCCAGTTACTATGTGAGTGATTTCATTTGTCAACAGCGGAGGTTGTTTCTAGGGTTGTTTTAAAAAATGGAAACATGATGATGTCTGCAGAGAACGGCATGATTTTTTTTAAGAACACTTTCAGTTTTTTGGCTTTAGACTTCTCCCTTGAGCCTCGATCAAAAGGAATATGTATTTTCTTTTCTTTCTGCTTAACTCTTGTTGCTGTTATGTTTTCCTGAAGTTTTCCTGTTGAAGGAAAGCATCTGGCACGGACAGTGAGCGCCTTCCCTCTGGTACACATTTGGAGATATATCACAGGCTAATCTAGTCAGCTGAAGCCAAGCATAAAGAAAAATACTGGTCATATGAAACAGAATATGCTTCCCGTTTGATCCTAATAAGCCAACACTGTCTGCTTGTTTACACTTGAGATTTCATCGATGATCCAACAAAAGCCTCACTGTCAGAAATATGTCGCCCTGTAATGCAAATAGGATATCCTGACTCATAAATACCAGTCATGGCAGCATGTGTTTTGAATGATTTGCACTGGGCTGATTCTTTCCTTGTATTGCGCTTTAAATCGGTTATGATGCGTCCTTTCAGATATCTCGGGCTACGTACCTCTGCTTGCCGTACTCTGTATTTCCATTTGCAGTAACTGTGAAAATCCCCCACAGGATGAAAGTCACGGCATGATTAAAGTAAAGCGGACATACCGATCAAACCTGTGGGTGGTTTTAACAAGGTTATCTCACATGCTCGTGGAAACAAGTAACCCAGGCTGTGTGACAGAGGCAACACTTGTGAACAGAGCATGAGGATGCGAGTGTGTGTTTGTTTGTGTGTGTGTGGTTTCTGACTCTGCCTGTCACTGCAGGTGCTGAGCCCGACATACAAGCAGCGCAATGAGGACTTTAGGAAACTCTTCAAGCAGCTCCCTGACACAGAGAGACTCATTGTGGGTGAGTGTACACGCTGAGGCCATCTGAGTACTGGCAGGGTGCAGCCAGCTTGGTAGTAATTAGAAAATGATTAATCCTTCCGGAGCAGACAAGTACGGGATATTCCCACCGGCTGACATCATGGCATGACTGTAAATATGTGTCGATTTTTGTCACTGAGTAAAATAAATCCCACGGTCTTCAGAGGCCTTAGTGTCATCGTTTGAGGAGACCTTTTCCTTTTCGGGCACTCATGTGAACACGTAATGTGAACACAAGTTTCGCTCATTTGTTGTTGAGAGTTTCTCAGTGTTCCTATGAGTACAGTCATTGTTGTAAATGCTTCCGACTAAATCAAACTGCATGTGAACTTGACTCGAACTTGCTGAAATGGTCAGTTTTGTGTCCTATTTGTTGTTGTTGTTTCTGTGCTACATGGTGCAGTTCCTGTGCCGTCTTTTTTCTCATTTTCCATCATGTCTGATTTCATGACTCATCCATGTTGCAGACTACTCCTGTGCTCTTCAGCGGGACATCCTCCTGCAGGGACGACTCTACCTCTCTGAGAACTGGATCTGTTTCTATAGCAACATCTTCCGCTGGGAAACGCTGGTATTGCTGCACTTCTGTGCATTCTTTCTGGCAGTATTGGGTGTGTGTGTGTAAGTAATGGTGTACATTTGTGTGTTTGTTTAAAGCTGACGGTGCGGCTAAAGGACATCTGCTCAATGACAAAGGAGAAGACCGCCCGGCTCATTCCCAATGCCATCCAGGTCTGCACGGACACTGAGAAGGTAAGGGATACGCAAGACTTTGTTTTCAGTGTGTACATGTCAGTGTTTATTGATGATGTGGCTGCTGATAGAAGCAAAAAGATGAAGTGTGAAGTTTACAGAGCTGTGCTCTCTGCTCAGATTCAGCCAAATACTGCCAAACTGATCAGACAGCTACAAATGGATGATGAGATAAAGCATCCCAGGAGTGCAAACCAAGAGTTTCTTAAGGAAAAACAACAGGATATTCTTCTATGGCCCAGTCAGTCATCTGATCTCAGTGAAACAGAGGCGTTTTTTTAGTTATTAAATGCAAAACTGCAAGCAAATGACACAAGCAAACAAGCTGCAAATTAAAGAGGTTTCAGTAACTTTCTAGTCCCTGTACTTTCTTGGGAAAAAAAATCTGAATTGAAGCTGAAAGTCTGCATTAGAATCACACATTAAATGTTTGATTTACAGCCCACTGTGGGGTGGTGGTGTGCAGAAGCAAAACTACAAAATTGCGTCTTTTTCCTCAAACATTATGGAGGGCACCCGTAAATGTGTCAGAAATATGTGCTTTAGTTTTTATTTTCATTTATTTCAACTAATTTACAAAATTATTTCTCCCTTTCATTTTGTATTTTGTTACTTTTTAGTTCCCACTTATTTAATCTCCCAGAACTGACTCTCTTCCCTTTTTTTTCTATTTGCATGTCTTTGTACATGATGCAAATTCCTTTATTTATGGTGTTATTTTAGTTCCATGTCGGCTAATACGAGATCGCGTTTTATTCTCTGCAGCACTTCTTCACCTCGTTCGGAGCCAGGGACAGGACGTACATGATGATGTTTAGACTGTGGCAGAATGCGCTGCTCGACAAGGTCAGCAAATCCAATTTGTGACTTTATGCTTTGGTCTATATTTTTTTTCTTTTGCCACACATGGGATGACAACAACAAATTGCTGCATGGTTCCCTCCTCACTCTCTTCGTTCCTTATAACTGGTTTGTTGATCTTCTGCAGCCTCTGTGCCCCAAAGAGCTCTGGCACTTTGTTCATCAGTGCTATGGCAACGAGCTCGGCCTGACCAGTGACGACGAGGACTACGTTCCTCCCGATGATGACTTTAACACCATGGGGTATGTCTGGCTATGGTGCTGCATCAGTTACTATGGCTACCACTATAAATATTGTCATTTGGTTGCCTAATTTCCCAAATTAGAAAATAATTATTCCGGCCAACATGAGCCAGAGCCAGTAAATACTGAGTATTTTCTGTGCCGATGTACTATTAATACAGTCACGGTTTGAATGCTTTTATTCTACAATGCACTCACAGTGAAGGCTAAAGGCTTTGTTGCGAACATGTCTACATACACATAAGAGACAGTTTGCCTCAAAATCAAGTTTACATGTTTCTCCCCTAGTGCTAGTTATCGATCTCGATCTTTTTGTGTTGAGCTCATCAGTTTTGGGTGGAGGTGTCTGTGTTCCTTATGACATAATGTAAATAAATGGCACTTGGCTCACTGTGCTCAGAAGAGCCAAAAAATGTATTTGAACAAGTCGTTCATTCGAGAACTCATCACCTACCTCTGCAACATAGAAGCACATGAACCCGTGACGGTGTGACATGACACAAACATGTGACATAATATAAACATACAGAAACAATAGCACTCCCCTCATGTTAGCTAGTTCCTTTGATTGGCCAGCGTGAAAAACATTCCTACATAAAACCACAAACCATGCTGCCTTTGCAGTGGTTGATTCATAGACAGTGACAAGGTCATGCTCGCAATCAGTAGCCATCTGGGTGTGTCAAGTTGACAATAAAATGTCAATAAAAAGGACTCACTCTGCTATCAGTTTGTGATTGAACGGGGTCAAGTCAGCAGCCTCTGATAACACGGGAATTACCTGTGACAGATAAGCAGAAATTAGAAATCTCTTGCCATCTGTTGTAAATCCATTGCTGTCTACAATCAGAGAAATTCACATTTACTGCTTACATCCAGACTACAGGCAGAAACTCATATATTTGTAACTTAGCTATTCTATTATCGCAGACGTCTCTACAGCTGCAGTAAAGTCTGGGGCTGTCACGTTTCTCCATTGCCTTCAGGTTCAGTGAGGAGATTCCCAATGAGGAGAATGAGATCAACAATGATAACTTGTCCAAGAACAACGTAGAAGCCAAGCCTGAAGGGAGCCCTCCTCCTGTACAAAAGAAGCTCATCCCAAACAGCACCATCCCCACCCCTGGCAACCACGATACCATCACAGTAAGTTGTTGCAATTATGCTCTATACTCTGTTTTTAACCACGTAAAGCCTAAAACATGAAATCATTGGCAGACAATTCCTTTCTATTTTTTTATTTCAGTGTTTATTCTACCTTTTGACATTTTTCACGTTTTTAAAAAGGAAATAACATTTTACTTTGCATATAAGAGTTTTAATTTGTATCATTATTGCTCCATTCAGTATTTTTGTGCAGTTTTTTCAGGTTTTTCAGTATTTAAAAAAAACAAATCACAAAAATTTTAATCAAATCACATGCAAACCTCAGAATCTCTGAATAACTTCACCATATTGTTTTTCCGCAGTTTGACCTCCCAGCTGAGGAATATGCAGACTGCCTGCCAGATGGTGATCTGCTGGCTGTCCCTCTGGTGGTGGAGGAAAAGAATGAGACCAGTGGGCCTGCTGGTCCTGTCCCATCACCGTCACTGGACTTCAATGACAATGAAGACATCCCCACTGAGCTCAGTGATTCTTCAGAAACACACGACGAGGGTAATTGCAGAGAGCGGACGGTCTTTGCTAACAGGACGACTATTCATATAATTTAAAACCAGAACATAAGAAATGTATTTTCCTTATTTGTTATGTGTGTTTCTTTGCCACGTAGGAGAGGTACAAGCCTTCCATGAGGATCTCAATGGCAGGCAGCATATCAATGAGATCTACAAGTTCAGTGTGGACAAGCTGTATGACATCCTTTTCACGGAGTCTCAGTTCATGAGTGATTTCATGGAGCAGAGGCGATTCTCAGGTCGGTACGCCTGATGTTCCTGCACGTGATTCAGTCGAGTCACGTCTGAGCTCCTTGGAAAGAGTGCAAGCTAAAAAGACAGGCTTTATTCAATTCGAACATTTGCTTTTCAGATATAGTGTACCATCCATGGAAGAAGGAGGAAGATGGGAACCAGACCAGAGAAATCATGTACACCATCTCTCTGTCCAACCCCCTGGCTCCCAAAACAGCCACAGTCACTGAGACACAGGTAGTCATGTCAAGTAGAAACATGTTTAATTATTTAAGCTCTGCTGTGCTTTATGAGACACTTAAACTACATTTTGTTGATTGTATCAGACTCTATACAAAGCCAGTCAGGAGAGTGAGTGTTACATCATTGATGCTGAGGTCATCACACACGACGTCCCCTATCATGACTACTTCTACACTCTCAACCGCTACATGCTCACGAGGGTGGCCAAGAACAAGTGTCGGTTACGGTGAGTCATAAGACTTCGTGACATAATTATTTTTGGACCATCTTTCCCCGTGTTTAAATTATTTTTAAGTGTTTCTTTTCATGGTTTATCTCAATTTATTTAGCATTTTATTGCAAAGACAGAACCTGTGTATGAATACAGTCATCCTCTTCTCCTAGGATATCAACAGAGCTGCGTTACAGGAAACAGCCATGGGGGCTGGTAAAAGGCTTCATAGAGAAGAACTTCTGGAGTGGGCTTGAAGAAAACTTCCGCCATCTTGGTAAACTCCATGATTGTTTGGTTGGCTGTTTCGATTGGTCACATCAGTCATGTGGTTTTCTTAACAAGAAGACTCAGAGAGCGCAACTCGAAGAGCAAGGGCTAAACTAAAACCTTTATTTATGATGCTTTTATTACAACATGCTGACGTCAGCTTGTTTTTATTAGAATATGATGACATCAGCCTGTTATGGCGTCACTGTGAGCTCGTAGAGCATCGTATTTTTTCAAAAAAGGGGGTGTTATGCTCGATATGATCTTGGGCGCTAATAATGAAGGTCAAACTCAAATGCTCAGCCAACATGGTACCCGTCCTCCAAGGCCTGGTATATTGTTGTGAACTCCATAAAAATTGTGGGTAATATAGTTTTTTTTTACTGATTTTAACATTTGATGTGATCTTGACCCTAGTTATACCTTAATTAAATCAGCTGAAGCTGTTATTGGTATCTACCATCACACAAAACTTTCACAATGATATCTTTGGACACTGGACTGCAGCAAAGAGACAAACAGACAGACAAAGAAATGGAACCGATTACATACTCCCCCCATTCAAGGGGATAAATAATGGCAACGATAGACTTAATCTAATCATTGCTTAATGCTTAAAGAGAGAACAAGAGCATGTGGATGTTTTCAACAAGCTGAAAGTGCATGGGTGTTATATATATTTATATGTAACAGGTGTGTTTTTCCTCTCTCAGAGTTGGAGCTGTCCAAGCTGGAGGAGATACTCATGGAGACTCACCAGCTGTCTCCAAAGGCAAAAGTGGTGAAGAACTCCACGGTGAGGCGCAAGAAGAGGCCGCTTCCCCACATGCGCAGCCAGCATCTGGATGAGGCCCTCAGCCCCGTTACCACGCCGACAGATGAGGAAGTGATCCAGAGGATCAAACACGTGGCCGGCTCCACGCAAACGAGACACCAGAGTCCAGAACACCTGCCCGGAGGCTTCGCTCTGTACAGCGTCTCCAAACTGCTGCTCATCATCAGCTTTGTGTAAGCAGCTCATCAGAGCACGCACGTGCACACGTCATTCCTGTGAGGATGGCTGCACAGTTGTCCATCAGGATGTAAATGTACATTTGACACATGCTGACATGACTTATTTTAATTTCCTTAGAAATATGTCATTATTGTTCTTTTGAGTATAACTCCTTTCTCCTCTTCTTTCATTGCCATCCATAGGATCTGTCTCAGGTACACATATATGTTCTCTGATATATAGACAGATTACAAATTATAGAAAAACTAACAAACTGTCTTAGTAAGGTACTGGGCCACTATATGTCGGCCGATTGGCTTTAGCGTTCCTTAGCAAGTTTGCTCTTTTATTTAATGTCTCAATGTCGGTGGAGAGTGACTGACTGACTGATGCACAGTCCAAAGTTTCCTGTAGGCGTTCAGTGATGTTGAACTCTCATTACTCTAAAAACAGCTTTGTTCCCACGTGTGTGTATCAAACTATTTAGCGACGCCCTCGTGTCCTTTATCCTGGCAGAGAGGATAAAGTTTGCAAGTAGATCCAAACTATGTGAGCAAAATGCCCCCAAAGCATAACAGAGATTCATTTAATCATTACATTTGTCATCCGTCTGTATTCAGTATTTATTGAAAACCATCCCACAGTCAAAGTGTACTTTCAGTATACATCAGAGTGCTCATACCAGCTCATTAGAGGCATTATGAATGATTTCAAAGTGAAGCTGAGCCCTCATTTGTTGACTCTCTTTCTTCATTTCTGTCTCTTTGCCCTCCTCCAGCCTGGTCCTGCTTGTGTTCCTCAACATGATGCTTTTCTACAAACTGTGGATGCTGGAGTACTCTGCGCAGTCCTTAACAACCTGGCAAGGTCTGCGGTTTCATGAAAGGTAAACACACCCCAACAGATCCATGTGTACACACGGTTTATTGCACTGTTTTTTTCATTACTCTTTACACAGAACTTTCTGTTAAACACATTAAAGATACCCAAACACTGTAATACAATTCCAGACAGGCACACACATCCGTCAAGTAAACTGCATCCATATTGCCTTGAACAGGAAATCTCCACGCTTGCTTACTGATTGTTAGCAGTCCCTTAAAATGGAAATAATGCTTCAGTGCCTGCACCCTTAGGTTGCTGTGTGTGTTTATCTGTGTGTGTGTTTTTCCAAGTAAACTGCCTCAGACGCAGATGGAGTGGGCCCAACTCCTGGAGGCACAGCAGCGGTACCACGATGCTGAGCTGCAAAAGTGGAGGGAGATTATCAAGTCATCCGTAGTGCTGCTGGACCAGGTATAGAAAAAGTTTCTTTTTTTACAGCAGATAGTAAATAATAATATAATTAACATTATTTAAATTAAATAAGATAAATAATAATTCTGAAAATGTAGTTTTACTTTTATTTATGTGTTTCAATATTTTTAATAGTTTCATTTTTAATATTAGTGTAATTTTAATATTATTTCTGCCAGAAGAGATTGTACGTGTTCTCATAAATACATTCAACTCTGACCAAAGCTTACATTTGCTAACTAGCTTGATTTTCATTTATGCTATTGCGACCAAAAGTTTGAATAACTTTTTCGCCTGTTATTAAAATGGAGAAAATACTATTTAACGCGTGTTCCTGTTGTTTTGCTTCTTCAGATGAAAGACTCTTTATTGAACCTCCAGAGAGGCATTGGTTTAAGGGACTACCCCTCTGAGACTGAGGAGAAACGCAGTCGCTATCACTGACACACTACCATCAGGCCATGAGGGCATGCTGTGCAATACGGGACCTGTTTTCTTTTTGAACCAGTATGCCGTCAGCGGCAAGACAGAGAGAGAACAGAGAGGGGTGGTGGGACCAATAGTGAGCGGATCCATGGACATAAAGAGAGGAACAGTCATCTCTAGCGTATGGAAGTTAAAACCACCCCCAGAGGACGAAACCACGGACAGAAAGGGTCCCGATCACACACAGGAATCGAGCTATCCCCAACAAGAGGAGGTGCAAGACTTGCTTCCTCTAAACACCTTGGGGATAACCGTTTCCTTCTACTCTCTTTATTTCCAAGTGCATCCTACTGTAAGCTATGTGAGCCAGGAGCGTGGCGGAGAGAGCGAAGGAAAACTACTGCATGCATTTAGACAACCTATCTCCCCTCAGTCAGTGTTAATGTGGTCCAGTTCCAGTCTATGTGTGTCTGAAAAAGAACAGAAGAAGAGGAGAGATTGAGTCAAAGAAAAGGGGAGGGGGATCCTTTTGAGTCTTAACGGCTTTCTACACTCTCCGACTGTTCCAAATCAATCGTACCCTAGAGGTCCTCGCTGCAGCGTCCCTTCAGTAAACCTCCAGGTGATCAGAGGACAGGTTCACTCCACGAGAAAAGACGTATTGTAGCTGGGAGATCAGCTTCACTGATCAGCCCTTATTGCCTTGTTTGAGCCTGGACTGTGTGGTTTCTGTCCGGGCTGGTTCCCTGACATACCGATGAGTAGAGCGTAAGATTGATAAGATGCGATTCGCAGGCTCGGTTTCTCCCGTCACAGTGTTACCTACCTTATGTCGCATTATTTCTCATCCTTCTGATGAAGTCGAATGTATTAGTCTGGGGGAAAAAAGAAAAGAAAAAGGCTGGACTTTGATCACAACTTGATAAACTTTGAAACGGGGACGCTGCAGCTAGACCGACCAGTAGGGAGTCCTGTGTTCTTACATGTTTTATTACTAAACTGTGATTATATCTCTTTAAAAATGTTTCAGATTGGAAAGAGGTCATGAATATATTTGAAATATATAAGAATATTTCATTATTATATAATATATATACATATATATATATATTTAAAAATATATAAAAAACATTACCTATATTTATTGTTAATTTATGTACATACAGAAATGATCAGAGCTCTAGACCAGTTAAAGAATTTCTAACAAAAAGTGTTTTCTTCTAAAGATGCATGCCAGATATGTCTGTGACATGTCCAGTGTGCAAGTATGATTCTTCATTCGCGCGATTATGTTCGCGCACGTGAGCGTGTGTGTGTGTGTGTGTGTGTGTGTGTGTGTGTGCAGGAATTTTTACCATTCCACATGTCTATGTTTCTTTTCTGGCTCTTCCAGCTGGACTGCCTTCTTTTCTTTTTTTAATGCTGATGTGTTTGGATGCTGCCTTGCATTTGTCCCACCAGGGTGCAGCTGCACATTTGAAGAGTTTTGTTCCAAAATGATGTATCAGACAGCTGGAAACAGCCACGATCGATTGGTTAGGTAGTGTCACATGCACATTTGGCTAAGAAGCTAAACGATGCCTGGCTCGACCGCAGGAGGAAACACAAACCCCTTTGAGGTTGTGTCAGTAAGAGCATCTCGCTTAAAATCAAAAATAACCGGAGCTACCTGCTGTGACAACCCTTTCTAAATAAGGGCAGGCAAAAAAAGTAAAAATATATATTTTTTGCAGTTTGCAAAAATGAAATGGATACATGCTATTTTGGAAATGAACCCTTCGTGCCCCCTGTGAGCAACTCTTCTGTTCATTTCACCACATTAGCTGCCGCTGTTTGCTAAACAGGAAGAGGTTTTGGCATTTTAGGAAATCTGCACATTTGCTGTAAGGTTGGATGATATGATCAGATGCTACTGTCACGTGTGTAAACTAAGTAAGTAAATAAGAAACAAAAAGAAATTAAGCCTGACAGTTTTTGTTCATTCTTTGTAAGTTTAGATCTACCTTCATATTTGGCATCTTGGTAGGATCTTTTCATCTTACTCTCAGTAAAAAAATAAATAAAAAGTGAGAGCATAAGCACATTCCTCAAAATCGAAACCTCTTCCTTTAAAAATACCTGCGTTAACTCAAAATGTACTCTACCTTTCCCCGTTTCAAGTGTCTGTCTTGGATGCAGTGAAAGCATGAGAATTAACTTTATGCAACTAAATTGAACCAAAAGAAAGTAGAAATGTACTTTCACAGAGGACGTATTGTTTTAAATTAAGTATTTATCATGTATGTTATATATATATATATATATATATATACATACATATATATATATATATATATATATATATATATATATATATATATATACATACATACATACACAGGTGTTAGTATGGTGGTTTACTCACTCACCTAACAACATCCCCAGGTTTGATCCCAGAATGATGCACAAATCCCTATTTGGGGTTGCATCAGGAACGGCACCCGGTGTAAAAAAAATAATAATAATAATTTTATCTGCTGAATCAAACACACGGATCTGCCCGCTATGGCAACCCCCTTGTGAATAAGGGAGCAGCTGAAAGCAGCTATATAAAAAGTAGTGTTACGTTTGCTGAGGCCTCGCCCCGAACTTAGCCTGGCACACCTTCTCGTCCGTTTTCCGGAGCAAAGATTGGACGAGCGATCAGTATGAGGGCAAGCAGATAACTTTACTGTGGCGTGTTCTCGACCGACATATTGAGCGCGTTCCATTTGAAGAAGGCACAGTGACGATAACGCACAGAAACCTTAAGACGTGAATGTGAGCGATTTTGAGATGTTTTCTGTTTTATAGAAATCACCTTCACAATCTCGAAGGCACTGAAAGATTATAGTGAAGTTATGCTTTGTGTGTATGACGGTGCGAATACATGGAAATGTAACTGAAATGCTTTTAGAGTTTGTTTTCAAGTGTAGTGAGTAGATTTTTTCTTCTTCGTTTTCAGATGCTTCTGTAGTAAATGCTTGATTGAGATGGTTTTACTGACACGTTTTCACCGTCGCGGCTGAGTGAAGCAGTTAATGTCACCTCAGTCCAAGTCAGACGCTCGATCGGGCTTTTGAGGAAGCTGTTGCGACAGCAAACTTAAGTTTTATTTCACAAATCTGAACAGTTATGCAAATTTACTTCTTGTTTTTCTTTTTCTTCAGAACTGTTTCTCATTTTTACCAGCAAATTAAACAAATTAAGTTTCATTCTATAGCAATCAACACTTCTTTTTTTTTCTGTCCATTTGCTTTCACTCTTTCTCTCCTAGCATGCACTCACGCAGTTAATCTGTGTTAATCGAATGATTGTATGGTTGCTATCGCTGCACAACTGTGGAACCAAGGTGACCTGGGAGATTTTGTCACTGACAGCAGATGGAGTTTCTGTACGTGCTTTGTTAACTGTATCCATTGGGCATTCGCCTAGAGGCAACAGAGCTACCCTTGCAACACAGTGCTGACTAACAGCCTTGGTTAACACACAGTAGGAATCACACGCAACCTCCTGAAAACGACCACTGATTAAAACTCTTCTTCGAGTGTGTCTTGATAAAACATGTACTGTGTAGTTCTGTTCAAAGAGAATTCTGCTGTATGTTTTTTTTAAAGGTTTTGATCTCTAGACTTTTAGTGAAATTTCTACATGAGATGAATATGCTGTATGTATATGTTGTGTATATCTGCAGTGTGCACACACGCACACTGTCAAAAGAATCCGACCTGCGCTGCGCGTAGGTTTTGACTTGCTGATGACTTTTGCCTCATAGAGATGGGAGATAAAAGTGGCTTTCTGGTTCATGTGAAGTAGAGGTTGGAAGTTTGAATAAAGAAAAAATACTAAAACAGATGCTGCTGCTATTTTTGGTGTGGTTACTTTTGAGTTTCACAAATGCAGTAATGAGTGAGAAGGAAATTAACATTCATGAAAATCTGGAACTGAATCACAAAAACGGATCCTTAGCAGATTTGAGAATGAGGTAAATACAACCTCATTCTAAGACAAACAGCAACACGTGAGCTCTTACTGTCAGGATATGTTGTGTTAGGACCCAAGATGGAGAGGTTAACAAAAGGCATTATTGGATTGATGGAAATCTATATAAGGCCAAACACAAAACGATGCAAAACAAGTGCAAACTATTTCAATTCACAAGGGACCAGGGATCAGAATGACGCTAGAGAACTGAACTACACTCTGACAACAGAAAGAAAGTGTATAAATACACAGCGGGGAGATTAGAGCAGAGAAGAAACACCTGGGACACAGTACCAAGACACAGGTGGACAGGAAGTAACTGATGAGAGGGAGGAAAACTGAACACAATGCCCACGAGACTAAGGATTAGCAAACTAAAACAGAGAACATAAATAGAGAGTCAGGGACTATGGAATGTGAACCTGACATGAACATATAAACTACAGGGAGTGCAGAATTATTAGGCAAATGAGTATTTTGTCCACATCATCCTCTTCATGCATGTTGTCTTACTCCAAGCTGTATAGGCTCGAAAGCCTACTACCAATTAAGCATATTAGGTGATGTGCATCTCTGTAATGAGAAGGGGTGTGGTCTAATGACATCAACACCCTATATCAGGTGTGCATAATTATTAGGCAACGTCCTTTCCTTTGGCAAAATGGGTCAAAAGAAGGACTTGACGGGCTCAGAAAAGTCAAAAATAGTGAGATATCTTGCAGAGGGATGCAGCAGTCTCAAAATTGCAAAGCTTCTGAAGCGTGATCATCGAACAATCAAGCGTTTCATTCAAAATAGTCAACAGGGTCGCAAGAAGCGTGTGGAAAAACCAAGGTGCAAAATAACTGCCCATGAACTGAGAAAAGTCAAGCGTGCAGCTGCCAAGATGCCACTTGCCACCAGTTTGGCCATATTTCAGAGCTGCAACATCACTGGAGTGCCCAAAAGCACAAGATGTGCAATACTCAGAGACATGGCCAAGGTAAGAAAGGCTGAAAGACGACCACCACTGAACAAGACACACAAGCTGAAACGTCAAGACTGGGCCAAGAAATATCGCAAGACTGGTTTTTCTAAGGTTTTATGGACTGATGAAATGAGAGTGAGTCTTGATGGGCCAGATGGATGGGCCCGTGGCTGGATTGGTAAAGGGCAGAGAGCTCCAGTCCGACTCAGACGCCAGTAAGGTGGAGGTGGAGTACTGGTTTGGGCTGGTATCATCAAAGATGAGCTTGTGGGGCCTTTTCGGGTTGAGGATGGAGTCAAGCTCAACTCCCAGTCCTACTGCCAGTTTCTGGAAGACACCTTCTTCAAGCAGTGGTACAGGAAGAAGTCTGCATCCTTCAAGAAAAACATGATTTTCATGCAGGACAATGCTCCATCACACGCGTCCACGTACTCCACAGCGTGGCTGGCAAGAAAGGGTATAAAAGAAGAAAAACTAATGACATGGCCTCCTTGTTCACCTGATCTGAACCCCATTGAGAACCTGTGGTCCATCATCAAATGTGAGATTTACAAGGAGGGAAAACAGTACACCTCTCTGAACAGTGTCTGGGAGGCTGTGCTGCTGCTGCATGCAATGTTGATGGTGAACAGATCAAAACACTGACAGAATCCATGGATGGCAGGCTTTTGAGTGTCCTTGCAAAGAAAGGTGGCTATATTGGTCGCTGATTTGTTTTTGTTTTGTTTTTGAATGTCAGAAATGTATATTTGTGAATGTGGAGATGTTATATTGGTTTCACTGGTAAAAATAAATAATTGAAATGGGTATATATTTGTTTTTTGTTAAGTTGCCTAATAATTATGCACAGTAATAGTCACCTGCACACACAGATATCCCCCTAAAATAGCTAAAACTAAAAACAAACTAAAAACTACTTCCAAAAACATTCAGCTTTGATATTAATGAGTTTTTTGGGTTCCCTGAGAACATGGTTGTTGTTCAATAATAACATTATTCCTCAAAAATACAACTTGCCTAATAATTCTGCACTCCCTGTAGACACACATTAAAGCTAAACAAACATGGAGGCGAAAGCTGACAACTCGCTGAGATGAAACAAGGAGCGAGGGGACAGAAAAGGGAACTGATACTATTTAAAGAAGAACTGACGACATAAATAAGAAAACTCTGGAAAAAAAAAACACAAAACTCGAAAGAGTAAATAGCATAGAATTAGAATTTACTTCACAAACTCAAAAATAAATGGAAAAAAATCAATCAGTGACTCTGACAGTCTAAGAACCTAGCACCATGTCGCTTTTAAGAAGTGCAGAAGCAGCACATAAAAAAAGCAAAGTACACCTCATGATTCAGTAGTTTCTGATTCTTCTCTATAGTTTTTGTTGATTCAGTTCAGTGAGATTTCATTCTTCTAAATTTAAACACAGATCTTCCACCACAGCATTTCAATCAGGTTGAGATCTGAACTTTGTTGCCACTGAAACACTTTGATTGATCCCTTTTTTTTGGCCATTCTTTTTGTAGATTTGCTTCTGTGCTTGAAGTCACTGCTGCATAACCCAGTTTAGGAAGCTTTAGTTGTCAAACAGATGGCCTCATATTTGACTCTAGAATACTTTGGTATCCACAGGAGCTCATAGTCGACTCGCCAGCTACCCAGGCCCTGTGGCTGGTTGGTATGAGGTGCTTGTGCTGATTTTCTGTCTTGTTCTCCAGACATGGTGCTGTGCATTATTGCCAAGCATCTCCACTTTAGTTTTGTCTGTGCAAAGCACATTGTTCCAGAAGAATTTGTTCAGAAGCAACTTTGGAAACCTGAATGGAGCTGCCCTGTTCCTTACAGAGAGAATGGGCTTTGTTCCAGCAACAGTTACAAAAAAGGCATATTTGATCAGTGTTTTTTATTTGTACTATGATGAACTTTAACATTTAGCATGTTAACTGAGACCTTTAGAGTCTTGGGGTTTTCTTGTTTTGGTTTCTAAGATTCTAAGATTGTTGCTGATGTCTTTCCTCTGTGGCATCATGTTAACACACACCTGAATTCTCCAGACAAACAAAGTGCCAAAACTTCTACTTTAATGGAGATGTTCACACTAATTCAGCTAATTCAGCTAATTCAGTGCATTTCATTGGCAGCACCCAGCCCACACTCTTAATACTGTTAAGAAATAATCGTGTACTTAATATTTTGCACACTGCTTCTGCATCGTGCTTTAATGTCTGTTGAATAAATAATGACGCGTTTTAATATGTCATGCCTTCTTGTTGTTGTATAACTTGCTAAGGACCGAATGATTT